TAATTATCCCACCCACTTCAAAAATTATTATTTTTGACAAATTAAAATCCATATTTTAGTAGACAAATGTTCACTTTATTATTTCTCTAAATACATCAACATAATTATCTCTATATTAACCACAGAATTAGGAGAACTTATATTCTACAGTAAACCTTAGTCCTATTAATTTAAACTTTATAATAATTTTTAAGCAAATGTTACGTTTAGTATTCGAAAATGTGTTGCAATATTTGGAGATCCAATACCTCAGTTTTGAAACTTATGCGCGTAATGAGCATAAGCATTATGATATACACACATTATGACGCATATGAATTATACATGACATACATTATTAATATAAACATACATAACGAACAATTGCTATAAAAAGGTTCACTACTAATTAGCGTAGACTAATTCATGGTATTATTTTTATCATATAGCAAAAACTTAAAGCAAATTGTATCAGTATAGTAACATGTAAAGACACCTAGAAAACCGTAGTTACATGCAGCTTCGTAAAATGTACTTGAGAGACCGATTGGGAGAGCCGGGGCTTGGCAACTACTTAACTACAACGTTTTAAGCATGACCATAAATGAAGGGTTCAATATAGTCCTAGTATAAACTTACTGCACTTTTATTTAGTACACGAACTCTCTTAAACAACCACCTATATAAAGTACGTTTTCCTATTAATTAACACAACTAAAGTACCTTTACCTGTCGATTATCATAATTAAGATACCTTTACCTGTAGATTATCATAATTAAGGTACTTTTATATTTCGATTAACTCAGTTAAGGTACTTTTACCTATCAATTATGAGGAAACGGCCCGATTAAGGTACCTTTACCTGTCGATGGAATAATTGTACTGGAGTAGTAGACTAGGTACTTTATTTGTAGTGCTCATTCGAGCTATTTCCTCTAAGTACGAGCAAAAAAATCGGAAGGTTGCTTTTTTAAATGCCGAAATAGTAAAAAGATAGTTTGTCGTCTAAACGTCTTAAAAATACTATATAATAAACGTCATAAAATCTACGATGTTCCCATTAGTAACGATAAAATTTCTCTCGACGGTGAACGATTAAATGTAGTTCCGCGACTGTCGTTAGGGTCTCGCCTCGTTGCTAATGTTAATTTTCTTAAACTTACATTATAAGTAAATATTAAAAGGTTCAAAATCGCTTGGATCAACAAGTCCGAAGAAGATCAAGAAGTCCTTGAACCTGACCGTTTTCTTCTATCACATATTTTTGTAAAGACACAACGCATCCTTCATCATAAAATCACGCAAAGCACACAACCCTTTGAGGATCTTCGTGTTCTGGTCCATTTTAGCAATATCAGCCTCTGTAAGTGTTTTATCGTGCGCTAGGTAGCCTGCGATTGCTTCTTCGGTCATCCAATGAGCGGGCAGTTTATGCATGTTGAATTGAGAAGGATCTGGATTGGTTGGCATTGGGGTTAGAGATTTTTCCCAAGGTGTTATATACTTCTGTTCAGAGTGGAGGCCTTCTATGTATCTGTTAAAAAGACAGTAAATAGATAAATATGCGTGTTAATAAAAGTGGAAGTAAATAGAAGGGAGTGGAATTCCCTACCTGCAGACTTGTTCCCCGAACGCTATAATTTGGACCTTTTCAAGGCGAGAGTGAATAGGCATTAATTAAGTGTGCATGCTGCATCATTGACCTCATCGTTTCCATCAGATGAGATGGAGGTCGAATGCGCACTTATTTTTTATAAAAAAAAATTGCTACGCTGCGAACCCAGTGAAGGGAAGTCATGCAAAAAAAACCGGTTAGTAGAGGTACTCTCACCCATCGAACTGTTATTTAGTTATTCAAGAGCTAGTGCAGTCACAGCCACCAGAAATTTTAGACCAGTTACGAATACTTTATAATTTGTTACAAATGCCCATACGGGTGGTGGTGACCAATTTCCATAACATATAGCGCCCGATTGTTAACCTGCCACAAAGGAGTTTGAGAGAATGATAATTGAGGGGAAGATAGAAGGGGAAAGAGAGGAAGACCAAGAATGGTGGTATAGTGTACAAATAAAGAAGAAAATCAAGGCGATACCTCCAATGAACACTATGCCAACTTTATTTTTTGATCATTTTCTGTTCTTTTTGTGTATTTCGAATATTAGTTCCTCGAATTTTGTGAAAAAAATAAAGAAACAAAAGACATAATGCGAAGATAACAAAAAAACGAATATAATAATAATAGCATAAGTGAAGTTAAGTCAAACATGTTTATTGCTCCATTAGATATAGAAAAATAGAACCCAGTCAAATTCTTGTAACTCTATCTACAATATTAGTCGATAGAGTTGATATGGTTTGTATTTTTCTGTATCTAACGGAGCAATAGACATGTTTGACGTAACTGCACTTATGCCATCCTTCCATGAGAGCTGCGAAATGAAGAAACGAAAAACAAAATAAAAACTGAACTGGGGTGGTCACGTAATCAAACCGTTACGATATCGTAGCGATTTAGTTGTTGAACTGCTTTTTCGTATTCACGTGACAGTGCACGTCAACGAGTCCAATTTTAAAGACGTTCGATCCAAATGTCGTTAAAGCGTATTCTGGTATATGAATCGAATTTAAATCGACTCTAAACGACAAGTCATACGGATTCTGCAAAAATTTTGACAGTTCTTTCAATAGACTATGTCAAATTTCACAATCCAAGATGTCGTTCATTAGTCGTTACGTTTCGATTCTACTCATATCAACGTTCGTACACGTAACAACTCCTCTAGTACCTACAGTTCTTCTATTAAAATTTATAATAAACTACCTGAAAATATAAAAAATTAAAACAATGACAACATTTTCATAAAAAAATTAAAACTATTTCTGTCCGAAAAATGTTATTACACTATTAACGAATATTTAATAGATAATACATTCAGAGGCCACGCAAAATGATGATAAATATTAAGGTTGTTTTTAAATTGAATTTTATAACAATATAATATAGTATATAGTACATACGATAAACAAGAATAGAATACTTACTATATATAAAATACTACTATAAAATTGCGCTTCCTCTCTCCTAGCTCCTATGTTGCGTGCCCGACAGGGCCCGTAATACTGGTCTCACTACATTTGTAACATCTTATTATGTACATTATGGTTTTGCAATACATTATTGAATTATGAATTATTATAAGAATTCGTTCAAGTGATACGTGACGTTCACTGCCTCAGTGGCCGAACGGTTACCATGCCGGACTGCCACGCAGAGGTCCCAGGTTCGATTCCCGGGCCGGGAGAAGTGTTTGTATGGCTTACATTTATTTCTCTCGTGAGTTTGGGTGTAATTTGTGGTTGTCTATGTGTGTGTCCATGGCACCCGCGACACAGGGTTTCCCTAGTGCGGAGCTATGCTGAGTGTGTGTGTGCGTTTAAAAAAAAAAAAAAAAAAAGTGAATACCCATTTTGGATAGGACTTCGATTGAACGACTACGTGACTTGAACGATATTTTGATGAAATGAAGTGTTCATTGGAGGTATCCAAAGTGAGCAGCTGTAGGGTGAAGGAGGTGGGTATTTGAGGCGTGCGGCCTCACCTGATGTAGGCCTCGGAGTGCGTGACCCGCTGCGCGCGCGGCGGCGCGGGCGCGAACAGCGGCTCGAGCCCGGCGGGCCGCGCGCCTGCGCCCAGGGCCTCGCCCGTGCCCGGCGAGGGCGTGTTGCGCGCCATCGGAGACATGCCCGACAGCGACGCTGCACGACGAGGGAATTCATTTCGTTGAATATCATTGCTATAATTGTTAATACAAAGATCGAACACCGGATTCGAACCGACGTCTTCTAGCAAACCGTACCAAACGCTATATGTATAGTGCTCAATCTTCATCTCAATTTCACAAAAAACTAATTGAATATCAATTTAAATATCATTATTAGTGTTGGGTAATTTTCCCGGAACATAGGAAAATTTTTTTAAATTCGATAAACGTAATTTCAAAGGCTCATATTGTGTTCTACGTTTAGAAATATCTTTGGAAGTTTTATTTGGCGTGAATTATAAAATAAACTCCTACAGCTAAAACCCACTTAGAAAAAAACGAGAATTAAAATGAATTCACAACAGCGAAAAAATACCTTTTTAATGACTCCAACATTTTCGTTCAGTTAAAGTTTAAATTTTAATAGGTGTCAACGTCAGATGTAGAAAAATATGGTTTTTTTTTTTTTCAAAATAGAAATATTTCCATGACCTTTGTTATTAATTTTTTTTTTTTTGAGAAAATACTCTACTAGTTTGTTATTAATACTGATACCATAGACCAGTAACTCAAGCCGACTGCTAACTGCGTTACAAGACAGCGTAGCCGGGTATTTAGTACCTAATTGGTACACCACATGTCGCGATGAGTACTACACAGGTAATTTTGTATTAACAATTATAACAAATTAGTGAAGAAATTTCACAAAAATAATTGAATACCACAGTGGTCAAATATCGTAACATTCAATAAACTTAAAAAAAAACTTCGTATCGTGTTCTTTTTAAATTTACTTTGTCAGCTTCCCAAAAATACAATTCCGAGTTTCGTCATATTATTTTTGAATGTGCGATATCATAGTTTTATCACGGTAAATGACAATATCTAAAGTTGTTACCTCCTGGGGACATAACACCGCTGCGAAAACCTGTGGAGTACGATTTCGGTGGCTTCTTAGTTGACGGGACAAAGTTTCTGAAACAAAAATAACGAATAAATATTTCTTTTATAATATCAAGTGACGGGATGAACAAATCGTGCGCCTGATGGTAAGCGACACGCCTGTCCATAACAGTTGCAGTGCCACTCAGTGCTTTAAATAGCAAAGATCTGAGGGGAACTGCCACTGCGCCCGTCACCCTGAGACGTAAGTTGATAAGTCCCATGTGCCTGTAATTTCACCAGCACTCTTACTGTTCAAAACCGGAACACAATAATGATCACGTTACAGTTTGGCGGCAGGAATAGGTAAGCCAGTATTGGACGAACTCTTTCACAAGGAGCTCTGAAGCTACCAAAATGTACACTACAATAATAATAATAACGCACACATTCAACATAGCCCCGCACTAGGGAAACCCTGTGTCGCGGGTGCCGTGGACACACACATAGACAACTACAAATTACAGCCAAACTCACGAGATAAATAAATGTAGGCCATACAAATATTTCTCCGGCTCGGGAATCGAACCTGGAACCTCTGCGTGGCAGTCCGGCATGGTAACCGTTCGGCCATGGAGGCAGTTAAACAATATAATTACTCAATCTATATAAGGAGTAGGGCCCGGAGCATTTCACAAGTAGAGAGTACACACAGCTAAAATTATAAGTCCTAGAAACATGAAAACTTGAAGGTATGTTACTTATGTTTAGTGTTGGGGTATTAAGAACGGATTTTCCGAAATTCAACCCCTAGGAGAGTGGAAAAGGGTAACAATTTTGTATTCCTTACACACGTCGTACAACTTTTGTATGCAATTATCATTGTTTAACTATGTGTATACCGCCGATGACCCCAACTACCTTCGTCAATCGATGATCCTGTTTTAGTATTGTCTAAATTGCACCATGTATGCTGCACCGTGTACCTTGCGACATACCTGGAGCGTTCATGTATGGGCATTGTCCTTCCATTTCCTTTGTTCACGTGCAGATCTCTGACATGTCTCAACAGCCGCGGCAGGTTGGGGAAAGGCGCCTGTCCCTTGCGGACGCGCGCGCAATTGCGCCACAGGCACGGGTATTCGGAGAAAGATCCGCGGTAGTGGTTCTGGATGTGGCCCGCTGCCGACACACATGTAAGGCAAAGAGAATAGGTTAGATTTCAATTCACATTCTTGATTACGGCGTAGAGATTGCGGCCTGTAAGTATAGGATTGCAAACAGAGTCGCATTATATTTCCTGTCATTTTAAGGAGTCAAGCTCACACCAGCAGTAAGAGCTTCCTTCGACATACCACCGCTATAGAAGGTTGCACAAAAAACCGCTGTATTCTATAGGTACTTTATACATACCAATTTTTTTTTTTAATTTCAACCGAACTAAAGAGAATCCGTATACTATACAATATACATTTTTCAAACGAACTTCTTTTTTTTTCTTAAGCAAAATGAACCGTATTAGGCTCAACTCACAGAGTCGAAGCGTCGCGACGGGTCATGTTTTCGCCCGTAGCATATTCATTTCTATTTTCCCAATATTAAGGTACAAACGTCGACGCTTGGTTGCAGTTGGGCGGCTTCGAGCGTCGGTTAGGGTCGAAACACAAAACTGCGACGCGAATTGCTGCGACGCGATTTCGTGCGGTAAAGCGTCTCACTGCCGCGGTTCGGGTAACGACCACGATCCACCGTACTGAACGTACTTTTTAAACTAGGTAGCGACATGGATCGTAATAATATATAATGATCAGTACATAGTACTAAAAAACCGACCTCAAAAGTACGTGGAATTACGTCTATTTGCTAAGTTTTATTGAAATATCCCCTAGTTCGCCACTATACAGGACTTGACACTGGAGATAATAAAAATCGGTTCTCACTACTCAAAGTATATTGAGAGAAAAACGCCTTGAATTGGAGAAATGGCAAAATCAACCATTAAAGTAATTGCTCCTAAACTACAGTTAGGCGCTATTTATAAAAATGAATCTTCATGCGTGAACAGCCACCCTTCAAGGTGGATGATTTTCTTCAAAATGAAATGGGACCACTATGGAAGTACCCCCTTTCCAACAAAAAAAGAATCATGAAAATCGGTTCACAAATACCAGAGTTATCGCGTAACATATATACAAAAAAAAAACATACAGACGATTTGAGAACCTCCTCCTTTTTTAAAGTCGGTTAAAAAGAGTGTTGCACTGCAGTTATTGATAATATAGTATAGGAAAAAAGACAATGAAGGTTAACATCGCAGGATTGCGCGTGCGGAGCAATTCGTAAATTCTTGCGATGCGTCGTGCGAGCTCGTAGATTTCTGCGATGCGGCGTGGCATCGCTGTTTTGTGTTTTGACCCTTAGTACGAGAAAAACTTGGATTCCAGCTGAGGTAGTATACACTCTTAAAATAATTAAAGCATTGCCATGTCGTGTACACAATACTCACGTTCTAGCTTAGCCTTTTTCGTCTCCACAAATGTTCCAATCACTTTAGCAGCGTTAAAATAAAAACTATGTTACAGTAAGAGTTGAAATGTTGCTATAGTCTGTCTTTTTTGAAGACGGAGTAAAATGACATCTGTAGGATTGCCAGTTTTCATAAAATTTTAAATAGTCATGTAGTTGTTATCGACAGTTTTGTCGATAAATTGTGAAAGGTGAAATTTCGTCAAAAATGTGTGAATTGTTATTACGACGTTCTAATGATTACTAATTGCGTTATTACCTTCTTCATTCTTATTTTGACAGCTGGCTTACTAGTATCAAAATCAAATTTTATTCACATACATTTTAAGAAGAATATGCGGACTTTACATTGACTTACAATTATATGGACGTCGGGTCCGCGCTAAAAAGTGTCCGCACTTGTAAGGCGCTAAAATCGTATACAGAGCGCCAAACTCCGCTTTAGTCTTCATTTGTTCTACTGACAGCGCGATACTGCGATGACATTACAATTTAAATTTCGAATAGGTTGACTTGGGACATTTTTTTCGTGGTTTTTGTATTAGACCCGTCGTCCATTTATTTGTAAGTCAATGGGACTTTAAAATATGTCTCCTCTTTGTATTTTTATTTTTGTGTTCAGTTACAAAAATTAGCAATTCAAATGAACCTGTGCCCAGCACTTGGACGAATAATGGGCCGATAATCATTCAAATGAAACAAATGCGGTTATTTATTGCCTGCGTAAGCAACATTCAGTCGATTGTCGATAGAATATTTATCTAGTGCAATCACTAGCTGCTTGTAAGCAGCCAACACTTTTACGCTATGAACTGTCATTTTACTCCATCTTCAAAAAAGACAGACTATAGTTTAACTATCACGTTGAGAGCAGTAACAGAGGTAAGAAAGAATAAATATTTACTGTTGCCGCCATCGCCAATGCAGTGCTCCATGCAGTCGGAGACTTCCTCGAATTGGTAGTCGCAGGTGTCCCACGCGCATTCGTATGTCATTTCCATTGGTGTCTGCGGGAGTTGTTTATATTTATGCATTATTGTCTCTACTATACTATCATGAAGTCACCACAATTTCTAGAAAGCCCTATGCAACGACAAAAACCATCTTCAAAAATACTATTTCTGAAGACTTGACATTTTTTTATAATATTAAGACGGGACGAACAAGTCATTCGCCTGGCGGTAAGCGACACCCATAACAGTTGCAGTACCACTCAGATTTAAATCGCAAAGATCTTAGGAGCACTGCCACTGCGCCCGTCACCCAGAGACAAGTTGACAAGTCCCATGTGCCTGTAATTTCACCAGCACCCTTATCCTTACAAACCGGAACGCAGTAATGCTGACATTACTGCTTGGCAGCAGAAATAGACAAGGTGGCAGTACTACCCTGGACGAACTCTTTCACAAGAAGCTCTACTGCTACTAAATTTTCGTAGCCCTGGTATTCAGGATAGGGGATACCCTAATTTGAGAGCAGGAAGATTTCTTATTCATTTGAATAAGAAATCTTATTTGAAAAGTGTTACTTCAAAAGTGAGGTTATTTCTCAAATATAGCTTTGTGAATAGCCTATGGTTGCATAGGGATGTACGGAAATACTCATTCGGTTCATTCAATTAAAGATTTTGTAATCGATTAGTGAAACGAAAATTTAATCGTAATCGGACGAATGACTAAGTCCTTATAGGATTTGAAATAAGTTTTCGGAACAAATTTGTTTTTATAGATTATGTAAGAAACAATTTCTAATCTCATGAAAAAATATTACTAAGTATTGTATCACAAATGTTTTATAGTAATCAGCAGCGAAATCGCAAAACCCGTATTATTATATAAAACACAGTTATTCCAACTGATTCAATTAAACAAATCTATTCCTTCAATTAATTAATCGACATACACGTACGACATATAGTTGGCTATCACTAAAGCGTCTATGGTCGGGTCAATGATCTGTTTGTTTACTTTTGTGGTACAATGGATTCGAACAGACTATATATACGAACATGTTGAGACAGCTCTCTCATTTCTTCAGCGAGCTTTGCCGAAGTCTCTTCATTACACCTCGCCGCACGCTCCTCCCAGCTTTGCTTTGTTGAGGTCGGTAGCGAGCGCCACTCGTTGCCTACTATACGTGATATCTCGCCTGTGGGACAGACATCGTTGAGATAGGTGTTACGGTTGTGGTGGTATAAGCTATACACGCGGACGCTAACGCCGTGTCTATACTAAAAGCGGATTTTGTACGAAGTCAAGCGGGGTGAATAGAAATCCGGAAGGGTGAATAGAAACTCGGAAGGATGAATAGACCGTTAATTAGTGTATATTATCATAATGCCAACTTCTTAAATATCGAGCTATGTACGATGAGATGCAACCGAAGAAGATGCAAGGTAATAAAAAATTAAGATGACATAGTGCATCTACAATTCTAGACGAATTTGAACAAGTTAATTAAAACTATCCTATTATTATAATAAGAAGATATCATTAACAAAACATGCCATAAACGTTACAAACTATAATAATAATAAGTAATATAAAAACATATACTAGGTAGGAAATATTTCCATCATTATACTTTTCGAAACCGATAAAATAAACTATCATTAATTGTGCCTATTCAGCCCGAATCCCTATTCACCCTCTTTGTACCGTTATACTCAGCGCAAAGGTGTAAAGTTAAAGTTTCCCTTGAGTTTAGTATATTATTTCTTTATTCGTGTGGTTAGTAGAAAACAATGGAGCTTCCATATCCAAACTCATTTCGTGTTATCCTTTAACTTTGCACCCAAAGGAAACTCCGCAGAGAGTCTACGAATGACCATCATCAATGAACCCGACGATCTGCGGAGCGCGGTAATTGGAAGGGGCATACTAGGTTATTCAAGCTCTATGTAGTAGCTTTAGGCGAAAACCAGTTCAACTATACCAAATAAATAATGGATACCTACGTTTTGAGGGTTTATCCTTGCAGGCTAGATTAGTGTAATTTCGAGAATGGTGTTAGAACAATTTGTAACAATTTAGAATATAGCCGGCTACATAGATGGAAAAAAAGTGCAATTCGCCATTATGGGTCTGAAACATTATGTGAGTGTGGGGAACAATTTACAAATACAATATTGTGTATGGAACATAGCGTATAATTATACAAGGTTCTTAGTTCCAAATCAAAGGGTGTTTGTAGAAAACTGTAACAACGTGTTGTACATGGAATTCTGAACAAGTGAACGGCGTAGTAGAGTCAGCGATGACGAGAGGGAAGATGGCGTCGACCGAAACTCCCGTGCATTAAACCGTATGTACCTAAATTTTGTATGTATACAAAAACAAAGTTAATTTAAACGCTATTGTTTATAAAATGATTTTTATTTGAAACAATGATTTTATGTAGATTGTAATCTAAAAAAAAATAAGAGAGCTCGTCTTTCTCTCTCTCTCTCTTTCTCTGGTGTACTAAAGGGCGCTCTGTCCACTCTAGCCTTTCTTATTGGACTCCTTTTTTTCTAAGATGTGCTACAAATTTTTCTCTTTATCCAGTAAAACATTGTATTATAACTCTATAAAAAACCTAAACTAGTTTTTTTTAAATCGCCATAGGAACTTTTTCAGAGATACAACATGTGGTTAAAGTTTTCGAGATTAAAAACATACTGTTTTGCAGAATCATCGTTAAGACGTTCGCAGACGTCGAATGATCGGACGCCGATTTTTTAATGTAGCATAATTACCTCATACTCGCAACGCACGATCCAACAAGAAATCGCAAGTTTAAAAATAATAATTGGCGAACGCTCAACCAACTTACGGCCGGTTGTTGGTGACAAAATCGGCTTAAAAGCGAAGACGACGTTGTGTGTTTCGTTTCAGTGTGGTCCGTCGATTCCGCCGGCCGACAGTTGGCTGCGAGCGCTTATTAGGAAAACCAATACTACCGACCTCAAGTGACCAAAAAAGTATAATTTTATTGTTGACGTAGATCACCGATAATCGGTAAATTTTGCGTCCGATAATCGACCTGCTAAACGTCTGATGAGTGCAAGCACCGTCAAAGTGTTCGTTTTACTATACGAAGAAGTCTTACAGCTGACTTTTAACTGACGATAATATTAAAAAAAAACTACACAATTAGTGTGAGTTCGCAGAAAATTATTGTTTCTTTAATTGTCGATGGTTGTCTAGATTAACGGCCTATCTCAAAAAGAAATTCATCGGGGAGATGATATGCCGTTATTAAAGTTACGTTATTATTATTTATTATAATAAATTTTATTGTTTTTTTTATAATATAAATTGTTTTCCAGTAGCTTCATTTGACAATTAATTTATTTCAATTTTAATGTAACATAAAGTGTAGATAAATAATTTAGTTTCGTAAAGATCTGAAGGCCACTGCGCCCGTCGCCCAGAGACATAAGATGACAAGTCCCACGTGCCTGTAATTTCACCAGCACCCTTACCCTTCAAAACGGGTAATGCTCACATTACTAAGTATTTTGCGCCAAAAATAGGTAAGGAGGCAGTATTCCCCTCGACTAACTCTTCCGCAAGTAGATCTACTACTACACATGTCTTATTCACAAATTTAGGTTATTGAGTCCATATATATATATATATATATATTATATATATATATAAGAATAGTATGTATACACTTTAAAGGAATGTTATTAAAACATGATCTTCTATTGAATATACAAAATAGGATCAAACTTCGTTTGTATAATTCAGAGCTGTCAGACATCTTCTTATAATAAGTATAACCGCAGTCGTATATTATAATTTGTTTACTATACCAATGACGTCACTCACCGAACGTAGATTCAGGGTTATTCGCAATTATGGCTTTGCGAACCTCACTGGAGTATAGAATGTAGCCAGTGACGATCTTTTGCTTAGGATCTTTCTTCTTTTTGCTGCTGGTAGGAGTGGCTTGAGGCTGGGTGCGCTCTTGGCTGGTTGACGAGGACATCGACGGGTTGTACGGGTTGCTGTTGCCACCTAGAGAGTTTTCGAGGTCATAGTTAGGCGTGTTTTTTGCGGGCGACCAGAACAATCTTACAAGAAAGTTCCATAGTGTGCACGAAACTATCACTCCGCGCTTTAGGGTTTGAATAGAATAGAATAGAATAGAAATCATTTATTGTGTATAAAACACTGTGCACACACATTACATTATTAAAAAAGAATACATAACAGTTTGCGACTACAAAATTAGACATAAATTAAAGCAAAGCATGAAGAAAAAAAAATTCAATTATAAAACAGAAGATAACTTAAATAAATAATTAATGTAACGAATAATAATTAACAAAACAGGCGTGTGCGCTGTGTCGTTACATAATCCGTCATCCACTCAGCCTATTATCGTCTCACGATTTGAATCAAATTATTTTGTTGTTATTTGTTGTTTTTTTTTACTACTAAAATAGTTATTAATATAAAATAGCAAATAGTTATTAATTTGCATTATTAATAATGCTTTATTTTCTCCACAAAATACAAACGACAAAAAATAAGTACATTAACATCTTAGTCAACGTTTAGTGTAACATTACTAATGTTACGTTAAAAACGCTCATCCCTATTTAATTGACGAACTTACAATGAAATTCTTAAAACTGAATCATACGAGGTTTAAAAAATCACAGGCACGCAAAACTAAACGATTGTTGCTTACCTATAGACAATGGCGTCGCAGGCGAGGCCAGCGAGGAGTCGTCGAGTGAGTTCTCCAGCAGCATGTCCACGTCCTGATTGCCGATTGTGGTGTTGATCAGGTTGGTGAACTGCGGCTTGCCCATGCCGTCCTGACAACACACATACACGAAGTCTGTAACTTTGTCAAGCAGCATCCACATATATTCAAAGATATTAGATATATGCGAAACATGTTTATACTAGTACCTACTATTTTCTTTCTGTTACAACTTTGTTACTTGATTAAGAATTAAGAGAATTAAGAGCGCACAGTCACAGACCTCTGTCACTTGACTTCATCCGGTTTCCGAGAGGCTGGTGCCTGGGGTGAACTGCCCAGGTGCACGTACAGTACTCTCCCTATTTTCCAGATAGGTACCGGAGCTGTAGGCACGCTCAATTTCCGTTGCGCATTACACAACTAGCGGTTGCCACCGCTAAGCCGTCGCCTCTAAGCCCATTACCAAATCTCCTCATTGGTGGTGGAGCTGTAAGGCACGATCACTTCCCGACGCCGAAAAACGACGTCTCTCCAGTTCCCAATAACCTAAGCGGCTGGAGGGACAGGAGGATATCTAGCTTATCCTCTACTAGCTCTCCGGGCTAGTGCCGCAGTCCAGTCGCAGTGTCCTGCGACAATGTCCGGACTAGTGTTGTAACTTAAAAAAAACCAATGTTTTTTTCTTCACATTTTTGAAAAATAAAAACAAAAAAGAACACAGCGCCCTGGTGTTTTTTCTAAATTTGGTTTTTTTTTCAGAAAAAGTAAAATAGAATAACTGAAATAAGATACTAACTTTTGTTTGAAGAATATGTAAATTTTTAAAATTTTCTGTCTTCGTTTTCTTCATTCAAATCCTACCGAATTTTATATAAGCGGCTTGCTAATAATTCTATGTAAACGTTGCTATATAAGGGATATGGCAAAAAAAATTGACATCGCTCTTAGATAAATAAATAAGTAGTGTTTTATCAGTAATCATCAAAGTAGCGATGCAACAGCAATAGATAGATTTAAAAAAAAGGTAATATGGTAGAATCCTCGCATTTTCCCCACATAGCGTCAATCCCACAAAATGTCCAATCAAGTTGAAATCCCCGCAATTTGGGGAATTCGCCACAAATTGACAACACTGTGAGTGTTGCCCATTTATTTTGAGCAATTTATCTATGAAGAATAATTTAACTGCCTCCGTGGCCGAACGGTTACCATGCCGGACTGCCACGCAGAGGTCCCAGGTTCGATTCCCGGGCCGGGCGAAATATTTGTATGACCTACATTTATTTCTCTCGTGAGTTTGGGTGTAATTTGTGGTTGTCTATGTGTGTGTCCATGGCACCCGCGACACAGGGTTTCCCTAGTGCGGGGCTATGTTGAGTGTGTGCGTTATTATTATTATTACTATATAATATTAACAACAACAGAGGAAATGTAGTAAAAAAATACAATTGTCTTATTGTCATATTTTTGTTTTCATAATTTTAGAAAAAAACGCAGTCCAGATAAAAACGCTTTGTTTTCATTGTTTTTTTTTTTCACCTAAAAAACGGTTTTTTTAACAACACTAGTCCGGGCATAGCTTCCGACTTAAAGGACAACTCACATGTCCCGCGCGTCTACTCGCCACAGGCCCTCAACTAGACTGCTACTAAGACGCGCTAGCTGCTCACGAGGCAGACGCCCCGGCCACAATGACTCTGAATTGACTCCAAAACCCGTCGTTTTACACTGATTAAAACGACTAATTTTATAGTGTAGTGTATATCGTTAGCCATTAATTTGAATGCCAATAGAGCAGCGACGAATCGATAAGATTATCGTGACGGTCGATCGAAACGAGGAATTGTCTTTAACATCACCGCATTGCTAGTTTTATTATAATGAGCTCTCTAGTCGCATTATTTGTCAAATCACTGTATGACTTGTAAAACCTTTCAGTTATATTGAATTAAACTGTTAATAGAGTTGTCAACCTTCTTCTTACTTCAGGGCTAATTAAAAGTATCTAAGCTGTGATATAAACCGTACACTGCAACAAAGTGAATTTTAAATGATACTAACCATTGAGTCAATGTTCACAGGTGTATACGGCTTGTGCGTGAAAGCGCTAGTCGAGAGCTGTACGTCGTGCGACGTGGCTAATGCCGGCGGACCCAACGGACGCGAGAAGAAGTACATCTGAGAACAAAACAATATTTAATGTCAATAGGATGTATTTTCTGTCAATGGGAGGTATTTACTGTCAATGGGAGGTATTTACAGTCAATAGTAGTTATTTACTGTCAATAGGGGGTATGTTCTGTCAATAGGATTTATTTTGTCAATACGATGTATTTTCTGTCAATAGGATGTATTTTGTGTCAATACCATGTATACTCTGCCAATAGGAGGTATTTACTATCAATAGGAGGTACAATGCCAAGTTCAAGTTTTTATTCAAGCTTTTTCGGAATTTACCTCATCAACGGTGACATCCTTTGTGTGTTCAAACTTGCGCAGTTCTGTCTTCAGCTTGCGCGCGACGCGGTTCGACTCGTCATACACTGACTCACACAGGTACACGTCACTTTCTGCTATCTCTGTCGGTCGACCTACGGGAAACAGAGTACAGACATTGTTTGAAAATCTTATGTACAGTCTTTTTGGTGGAGGTGAGAAGGTGCTCAAAACGTCACCATATGAAATGTTAAAGACCAAGAAAGCATTGTTTCATCATGGTACTTCGCGAAAGAAAGAATCGGGTCTTGGAGCATACTTTTAAAGAGTAAAGTAAAATAATTTAAACTTAAAATTAAACAACCAGTTATTATCATTGATATCATCTTATAATTTATATAAACAAAACAGTCATGTTTTTTTTATCAGGCTGATTTTTGTGAACGAACCCAATACTTGGAAAAAATAGAGAAATGTTTTACCTATTCTTAAAATAATGCATCCAAATTAACACACTTGATAAGAAATTTAAAATAAATAGAAAGTTTTGTCGTCTCCTGAATAATCACTCTTTATAAGATACGAGTTTGAGAAAGTAAAGCATCGATATTTTGAATTTTGGACAGCTATAGAGCGTAGGCGATATAACTGCCGTCATGGGGGTCAACTTCCGTTCTCCGGTTCTCCGTCAAGACCGATTTCATGAAGTCAAGACTGCATACAATCAATCTTTTGGCAAACAGTTCACAATCGGTACGTTTAAAGAATCAAGTGGTTTTGACGGCAAAGGCTCTCAAAACCAAGTAAAAGCAAAAACTCACATTTGAGGTAATCGTCGTAATCCAGGACGGCACATTTTCCCACTATTCCCACCAATGGACTAGTGTCATTCATTGTAGTTAGAAGCACTTCCTGTTTGTAGAAATGCTGAAAATACAAATATAAAAAGACACATAATATGTTTATCGAGTTTTTTGTAATTTAAAAATAATAAATTAATAATAAAAAATATTAATTAAAAAAAAAAGTTAACGTAAATCAAGTTTTTTGTTGTTTCTAAAAATCTTCCGCGGAATTCTCGCGCATGCTCGAGAATGCTCGCGCACACCGCGGAAGAATTTCACCTTCCTTTAAAATTACACGAAATTACTTGAGAAGCGTTGTTTGACATCGTGAAACATCAAACAAGGGACTTTCTGTAGTAAGGGCATAAAAAAAAACAGACGAAACTATAAAATGTAAAATATTAACGCACTGGTATAGCGTATTCTTTCTTACCTTGCTAATAATATTAGACACTTCCGAAGGGAAAATGAGGAATGGACCGCGGAAATAGCATTTATTGCTGAAACAAGAAACCAAATATTTATTTGACAGTAAATTTCATTATTAATTACAGTACATTTAAGCGTCATCTATTGGCGCAATCTATTACTACAAGTTGAAGCTGTTATTAAAATTATGAAAAGAAAGTAAACAAAGAGGAGAGATATGAATAAAATAATTTACGAAAATACCTTGAGTCTTTAAAAAATACATATTACAAGAAGTACAAAAGAGAAGTATGTATTTTTAACAAGGGATTGAATAAAAAAAAATTGATTGATAAACATTGGTTTGATGGATTTATTAACCATAACCATAACCAATAAGGAAGAAACCCCAATCGCATCATGGCATCAGAGTGAGATACCGTCTCTAGTTTAATAGACACCAGCACATAATGAGAATAGTTTTTGTATCGTTATCTTAATGGCACCTTATCGACAACCGAGACACCAGAAAACTCTCACGGGTGACGACGCGACGTTAGCCCACCCTTACCGGCTGGTATAAAGAGTGACACCCCCGCGGCAACAAACAGTTCACATTCACCCCGAAACCCGAACATAAGCTCCGAATCGCTTGAGTTGCGGTAACTTTACAAATAATTGTAATCATTAAATAATATTCGTTCCTCGAGTGGTCTACGTCATTCAAATAAAGAAAAGCCCGACACCCAGAAATATTCAAGACACATAACTGTATAAAAAAGAAAACAGAGATGAGATTCAGATATAACTAGACATCTGAGTGACATCTCAAATGATAGGCATTTAATACCGGACATAGCTGTTTATATGCTACAGTATATTCTTCTAACTCACTCTCCTGTCTCCCAAATAGTATCGACTTGCGCGATCATCTGCTTGCCTCCCTCGGCGACAACGTACACGTAATCTCCCGTTTTGATCACCCCAGAGCAGGGCGTGTTATATTGCTCGTAGTACGTGTTCTCGTCGTCTGTGCCCAGTGGGTTGTACATTACCACGTCCTGTAGAAATTAATATTCATTTCACATACCTACTAATTTTATAAAATAAGTTTTTAAATTTCTCCCTAATCGTAATTGTACAGAGCTTCTTGAATGTCAAAAAAGAAATTTAGAACAGATTTAAAGAAAGAAGATGAGAAATATATTAAACCTTACAGATATGTATTTTCTTTTAGTCCTCTGACTGAAGAATGATGAAAATTACTAAGATAATATTAGACGCAAAATATTTTAAAGGATCCGTTTAGTCTTCCATACAACTTAGCCCAAAACATGTACCTCTATAATTGAATATAAAAATATGGTTAATTCATAAAAAAAAAAAAGAATTTATGAATGAATTTGAGCGGCACAAGTATACCGCTCAAAACTATCGTTCGAAAATAGAAATGACCAACAAAACAATAATTATTATATATGGCAATGTCTATGGTACCATATATCGGCATTATTTAAGGTCTATTCGTCTTTTGTAGGTCTGCAAAAAATATCCACTTATTCTTTTATAACTTATTCATTATGAGGCCATTATTACTATATGTAATAAAGTTGGCTAAAATAACTATGACCCAAGCTGTTAAACTCTATTTAAACGTCACTTCATGACGCAGGCGACACGTTACCGTCAAAGAGATTCCTGTCCTGTCTTTCGTTTGTTCCTTTACTTTTCCATCCAAGTTTGATTCGCGTCTCTAAAGTGTCACTATTTTGTGTTTTTATATATTCACTACTGACTTTTGGCTATTCTTTACGGATATTTTCTCGATCTAACCTGTCAAATCAAAGCTGTCAAATCACGACAATGTACGTTACGTCAAACGCAGTGTCGATTATTTTTATAATTGTAGAATTAATTTTTCAGCAATTTCTATTGAATTTTAAAGGATATTAATGGTTTTTCTATATAATTTTTTTTTGAACGCAAGTTGTACCTCGGTACACATATTGGGCAAAAACCGAACACCTCTAGAAAAAGTAAGACTTACCGGTCTATCCTTCTCTTGAACGTTTTCAAGAATCTCAAGCTCAGCGAGTTCGTCCTTATGTTTTTCAACTCGTTCGCGATACACTGACAACGTTCTTGTTGGCTCCAGGGGCACCTATAACATAGGCAGAGGGAGAAGTAACACTCCAGCTTCTATCTTACGACAACTTGGTCCATGTCTTATTTAAAACTTAACTGTCATTGACCAATTTACTAACCCAAAAAATATTAATAATTTCGACGCTGGAATGGTAAAATGTCTATCGTGCATTTGGAAAATATTAAAAGAGATCGATTTAAAGTACTTTTTTTTTTTAAGAAAAAAAATATCATAACTGTAATTTTATTTGTTATATGGAAAATTGGAACTTTTACTTTTCTATATAACAAACAAAATTAGTCATGATTTTTTTTCACAAAAAACTTGCTTTATATCACTCTACTGCAATATTTTCCAAATTCACTTTAGACGTCCTTTCCAGGGTCGATTTATTTCTTTTTTATTTATTTATTTAAACATAATAACAATGTCATTAGAGGATTTTTCCAATTCAACAATGTTATGAAGTAGCAGAAAGAGTGTGCAAAGTCTCGAATACCGACATCCACCTCGTTTTTCTTTCATTCTTATTGCCCTAGTAAGAGTAGATAATAATGTGCTAGACAATTACAGCAATTGTCTGGTCTGAAATTAGCGAAGTCTCTGTACTAGGAGTACCAGAGCAACGGAAGCTGTGAGGCGCTTCCCAGAACAACCGGACCAGAACCAATTAGAAAAGTTCATGTCCAAGATTGGTCCTACCGGAAATCGAACCCGGGACCTCATCTACCAATCACCAGAGATTTGTCGTATTACCTCTCTAGGAACGAGTGTCGCTTCTTTCTCGGCGCCCTCCCACACTTTGATCTTTTTGAACCAGCGATGTTTCGTGCTATACCTGCTCTCGCAGACGTACACGTCTTTGTCCGCGTATCCTGCAAACACGGAATCACTTATCTATCTTTTTCTTCATTGTGTCTTGCTTATCGTCGAAAATGGAATAACGGCAACAGGCAATTGTCACTTGTATAGTTATGAGATTATGACTTATACCATACGACAAGTATTCCAACTCCCGCCTGTTCAGTAGTGCTCCAATGCCTACATGTCCCTCGTTGCATAGGGTCACAGTAGAATAAGAACAAGTAGGGCAACTCCGTCCACAATAACAGCGCGGCTTGTATGTTTGCCCAACCGTGTACGGACGCACACATTCGCATAATGAAATGCGCATTGAGACAACCAGTGTTATGCAACGCTGCAGCACCCTTAGGTTATGCACGTTTGTGCGTCCGTACACGACATGCAGCAGGCACGTACACATACAAACCACGCTGCGAGGTTTAATATGGAGTTACCGCGCTGGTTCTTATTCTACTATGGTAGGGTTGTCATTTATTATTTTACATGTAGCTATAGCTTTTTATTTATTAATATGAAATAAGTACAAAAAGGAAAATTTAAATCTAGACTGCTCACAGTGTAACAAAAATCAATTTTCGGTTTTGAAGGGTACGGGTTGATGGTGAAATTACAGGTATATGGAATTGTCAACTTATGTCTCGGGGTGACGGACCCAGTGGCAGTGACCCTAAGGTCTTTTGCGATTTAAAGCTCTGACTGGCACTGCAACTGTTATGGATAGGCGTGTCGCTTACCACCAGGCGCACGACTTGTTCGCCCCGTCACTTGATATTATAAAAAAAGAATAAAAATAAAACTTATTAAATATAATATACAATTCAATAATAAAAAGTAGGCCTAGTAAACCCTGCTGATAAAAATCTCGACGTTAGTCTTCGATAGTATACAATCAAAAGCACGTCAAGTTTAACAATAGCACACTTTATTCCGCAACAAGTGTCAAGTTCACATGCTCTTGATTATACACGTCTTAATTGAAACTAAGTTCTACCTTCTGGGCGGAACTTGAAGTATTCCTTCACGTTCATGACGTAACACGGCCCGAGAACTTGGTCAAGAGGCAAGGTGCGGTGCGTCTCTGTCTTGAACACTTCCTGCTGCAGGAACTTGCGCGTGCGCACGTGGAACGTTTCTTGCGGTCTAGACAATATGATCATAATAATTTAGTCATAATTTTTTCTACATGTCAATAATAAGCATCGGCCATGGCAATTTAAAATTATACTACACACTAATAATAAAGAAAATAATACAATAATAATTTAAGGGCGGTAAATAAGAAATTAATAATAATAAGGCTTCTAACAAACGAGAGTCCGTTACTTCTAACAGCCGAAGGCTGAAGGCTTTAATGACTCGAGGTTTGTAATTTTTACCGCCCGTGCTACATACAATGTTTTTCATCACATTTGTGAGGAAATAGATGTATGAATAAATATCCCGTGTGCATAATTTAGGACATTACGGTTGATTTTGCTTGTCATGAGCAAGAGCAAGTTTACGAGCGAGTATGAAGAAAAGTAACATTATTTAAAGTAAAAAAAATCAGATGAATTAAAAAAAACGCTGGATTAGCTACATTTTTAGTTAAAAGCGAAAGGAAGGCGTACTCGGAGCGCTGGTGGTATCGTCAGGCAGATTTATTATATACGCGTTGGTTCATCGTATGAATGGTCCGCGGACCATTCTTACTGGCTAGCCAGTAAGGATCGCCGCGAGGCCCGTATACAGACCATTAGAGAACCATACATTACGTAATACTGAGAGGATCAAGGCTCTAAAATCCACCAATGGCGCTCCCACGAAGCTATATCAACAATATAAGGACGGAATGTTCTTACCAGAAGCTGACGAAAACGTCGCTATGTTATGTGTTTGAGTATCAAGATGTTTTTACTACCATGACATTCATGGTTTTTTGTGTATAGTTTCTTACATTATTGACATATTAAATTAACAAACTGTGATACCTAGGTTCTATAAATAAGACGGTTTAGAAAAATAGGTATAGAAATATATGTAATACAAGTCCTCACCTAAAGTAGACATTAGCATACATCATCGGCACGTTCTCATTGCTAGTCCAGACCCGTTCAACTTGTACGATGATGGGGTCCTTGCTGCCCTTCTCGGGCTGCACGTACACGAAGTCGCCTTTATTGTACTGCGTTTGCGGGATGGGATTACCTCCTGACGGCATCGAATCGTCTGTACTTGACCTGAAAAGTTATGAAAAAATTTTACTTTTATTTTGGTACAAAGGACTTGAGACATTATGTTCGTTTGCTGAAAACACATTGCATTTTGTTGCTGCAAAGAACTCAACATATAATAAAATATACACAAAAGGAGTTGGAAGATTTGGTGGTGAGAAATGAATATAAAAAAAGTTGAAACAGTAGAAAGAATGCTAGATACTTTCGTTATCTGACAACAATAGTATTTTTAGAGATAAAAATGTTTTTTTTTAATTCCGTCCATCCATTCCGTTCGAACTTGGAACGCACTTCCTACTGCTGTTCACGAATGTAAATTCCACTATTCCATCTATATCATCGGCATTATATTCTGAAATATGTATTTATCTAAGTTTATAATAATTCAATTTTCTCGATATTGTATTTGTATTATTACATAGTTTTTATTTTACATGTAAACCTGTTATTTTAAACACAATAATGTGTCCTGTATTTAGGTCTGCAAGAACAAATTTCTTTTAGAAATAAACGGAACTTTTGCGTCATATGCAATAAACTGTTAAATAAATAATAAATAAATTAGGAATTGAAACTATTTTTCCGTATTTAAATCGTGTGTATTTGTTTTTTCAAATAAACCAACGTTACGGGCCCTTTACAGGTCTCATAGTCACGGTGGTAGTCATTAACAAGTTATGTATAATATTAATGCAAATCACCCTATTTTCATAAACACTAAAGTTATTAAGTTATTAATAGATTCAGGCGTCACTTTGCGAAGGTTCATGTTAATTAAAATGGAAGTAAATTAATTTGCTACTCCGCGAATCCAGTGAAGGTTAAATCGTACAAAATAGCTGCGCTTGTGTTGAATATTTTTCAAGCAGTTAATTAAAAGAAAATTTGGCTGTGGATTCTGAGGTCGCAATTGTTCGTTATAGCAACGATGTAGATACTAAGGCATTAGTTGCAAATACAATTAAAAAATTTCAAACTTCTCAATCTAGTTCTAGTCGCCGGGATACGTTGCTGTTACGATCAATTCAACAAAAAGTTCATGACAATAATTTGGTGGTTTCAAAGGCAGAGAAAGGTAATTGTATTGTTATTTTGGACAGAAGTGAATATAATAATAAGGTTTTAGATGTTGTTCAAGGTGACGGTTTTTCGGTCTTACGTAGGGACCCCACTGCTGTGTTTCTTAGACCTTAAACATGTTGTTAAAAATTCTATGTTTGTTTTTGAAACAGACTGCAAAAAAGCAATATAACACCAATGAGTCCACAATCACCAATTCTTTACGGTCTCCCAAAAATTCACAAACAAAATATTCCTATCCGCCCAGTTGTCTTATATATAGATGCTCCAAATTACGAATTAGCTAAAAAAATCTAAATATTAATTATTCGGGAAAAATCTTTTTTCAAAACGCCTTTTTATTTAAAGAATAGTTTAGATTTAATACAAAGGATCAAAGACATCAACATACTCGACAGTAAATAAATTATTTACTAAAAATTTCACGAAATTTCATTTCTTTTTCAACTTTTGCATTCAAACAGTGCAATTAACAAAAAAATCCTAAATGTTTAGACAAATGAGTTACTAAGTAATAATTAATCTGAATAATGTACGTTGAAACTTTTTAGTATGTCATTACAGAAGTTAAAAAAAGCCGTAGTAGCCTAAAGATATGACCTACTGCCTCTCAAGCAGAGGGTCGCGGGTTCGAATCCGGACTTGTATAAAAAAAACCGACCTCAAAAGTACGTAGAATTACGTCTATTTGCTAAGTTTTATTGAAATATCCTCTGATTCGTCACTATACAGGTTTTGACACTGGAGATAATAAAAATCGGTTCTCACTACTCAAAGTATGTTGAGAGAAAAACGCCTTGAATTGGAGAAATAGCAATATCTACCATTAAAGTCATTGCTCATAAATTAAAGTTAGGCGCTATTTATAAAAATGAATTCATGCGTGAACAGCCACCCTTCGAGGTGGATGACTTTCTTCAAAATGAAATGGGACCACTATGGAAGTACAGGGAGTTCCAACAAAAAAAGAATCACGAAAATCGGTTCACAAATACCGGAGTTAAAGCGTAACATACATACAAAAAAAAAGAACATACAGTCGAATTGAGAACCTCCTCCTTTTTTGAAGTCGGTTAAAAATGGGCGCAACGGCCATAATAGAACACCCATTTTGATATTAAATTTTTATCATTTGCACGGGTTTCTAAACGATGTAAGTTGCCATGTTGATTAAAATTTGTCTTTAATGACTGAAAAATAAACAACAGCTTTGACAAAATCAGCCTCAGCAACATGGCTGCTATGAACTGTCAGTTGTCTGTGTTAAAATCGACCCGCATTTTATGGAATACTTTTACTTTCAAACGAAAGTGCAAGAAATGGCTTCTCTTGCAACATAAGTCGTCATGTTGCTAGTCGGTTGCGGAATAGTAATACGTAGTTGTCTGGTATCAGTCATTTGTACCCTTTGTTGCCCTAATTAGATTTGTTTTGCTTGTTATGTTTGTATAGTGTAACTGTATACTTTGCCTATTATCACTCGGAACCAGTACGTAAATAGTTATACTTCGTTTCAATCCATTTTGAACAAAAAGTAAACAAACAAGTCACTGACCCGACCATAGACGGTTTAGTGGTGGCCAATTGTAACGCCAACTACAAATCGATTAATTAATTGAACGAATCGATTTGTTCAATTGAGTCACACTAGCGGTTTTCCTTACATAACCTATATAAGCATATTTAAAATTTCAATTTAAATCCTCCTTCAAATCCTTACACTTAGATACTCGTTCGATTGCGATAATTGATTGAACCGAATGTTTTTTTTCGAACAGCACTATGCAACCATAGGCAAGTCATAGAAGTATGGATGAATACCTCATTTTTAAACTACCATTTTTCAAATACGATTTTACGATGGTATTCAAACGAATATTGTTGAAAAAGTGATGACATATCAAGTCGAAATCTTCGAATATACGTGAAAGTGTTACTTATTTGATTTATTGAGTTTACTTTTTGTTCAAAATGGATTTGAACAGACTTTACAACTTAAATTAGACTAACGATGACTGTTTTTGTTCTAGACGTTTTGTTCAGAATTGTAGTAATTATGCTCCAACTAGATCCGACAGACAACACAGGAGGAGATTCAAAATAGCCCTATTTTATTTATTTATTTGATTCAGGCATTGACTTACAAATAAATGGACGACGGGTCTAATACAAAAACCAAGAAAAAAATGTCCCAAGTCAACCTATTCGAAATTTAAATTGTTATGTCATCGCAGTATCGCGCTGTCAGTAGAACAAATGAAGACTAAAGCGGAGTGTCGCGCTCTGTATACGATTTTAGCGCCTTACAAGTGCGGACACTTTTTAGCGCGGACCCGACGTCCATATAATTGTAAGTCAATGGATTCAGGCAACCATGACCCATATAATATATACCTTAAGGATTAACATACATACTATATAATACAATAAAACACTATTTATGTATTTATACGTGTGCTGAGACTTCATCCTATTCATGAACTTAGTAAAAGAAATCAGAGCTACATGTATGTGTTTGATGAAATAAATTCCTATTTAATATACAAACAAGTGTATATAAAAAACTAAACGAACTGCATGGGACTTGTCAACTTATGTCTCAGGGTGTCGGGCGCAGTGGCAGTGCACCTCAGATCTTTATGATTTAAAGCTCTGAGTGGCACTGCTACTGTAGGGACAGGCGTGTCGCTTACCACTAGGCACACGACTTATTCGTCCCGTCACTTAGTATTATTAAAAAAAACAGTATGTTTATACTTAGTGCCTTTCTTTTAGTTTGGTTTTAATTAATTTTTTGCTTTTATATTGTTATTTTTATTTGTTTTTGTTTCTTTTTCGATAGTGTAATTTGTGGTACAAACAACGTCATTCTGTCTCTTTCAAATAAATTTACCTGGTCTCGTCTTCTTCCTCAGTTTCCTGTAGTAATTTGCACTGCTTAACTAGCTCCATACTAGTGGACATCATCTCCCTCGTGAAGGATAGAGCTGGTGACTGTAAAGTGTTCTTGCAGAGTATATCTCGTTGTTCCATAAAGTAGGACTGGAGTTCCACTGAATCTTCGAAGATCTGACTGTCCGTACGGGAGAGGCGGCGAGCGCTGTTAAGAAAGAAAATAGGTATAATAATAGTTATACGGTTGCCATGCTGGTCTGCCACGCAAAGTTCCGGCATTCGATTCCCGGGCCGGGAGAAGTATTTATGTTTTTTAGTATGGCCTACAGTTATTTCTCTCATGACTGTGGGTGTAACGTTAATGTAATTGTGACTGTCTTTTTTTTTAGCAGAGGCGAAGCTGCAGAGCCTTGAACACCGTCCTAAAGTTGCCTGCTTATCGGTATTCTACAGGGTATATGACGAAGAGTGTGCGAAGGAATAGCATGATTGGGTGCCGCCTTCCCCTTTCCATCATCGGGGGACTAGACGTGGGCTGGTGTGGTCTATGTTGTGGATATTCCCCGGATTCACACGAAGCGTTTCGCTTCCACATATGGCGAGCGGCTAGGGACTGGAATTCCCTGCCTGCGGACTTGTTCTACTGACGTACGCTATAAATTGGACCTTTTCAAGGCGACAGTGAATAGTTTATAGTATATAATAGGGTTTCACTAGTGCCATTAGTGTGTGCCTTAAAAATAAACCCATGTCATTGGTCAATTTAAATTTCGTACTGAATTACCGTTCAAAAACAGCAAACATGTCCTGCTGAAAGTGATCGAGGCGCTTGTACAAGCACTTGTCCAACCGCCGTTTGATTAGATCCAATGATATCGCGCGTACTTTGTCGCCGTTCGACGTCTCGTCATGCTCGGGGAGTTCGGCCATGCTGTCCGAATAGCACCTAGGAGAAAAGTTGTGTGTATATTTCATAGATCTGTGCAGGCGCAAATCATCATGCAACTGAATAAAAATTTTAATTAGTCTTCTATTTATTATAATTGAATTACCTTAACGATGACTCTCTATTTTAATGTTACATTTCATTTATTTTTATTTTTTTTTTATTCAATTTTTGTAACACCATTATATAAGTTAAGCATTTTTTATTATTTTAATTTATAGCGTGAATTTAATTTATACTATTTAATTCAATTTAAAATTAAAAAAGGGGTACACAGGGGGTCTTCTTAGCTAAACATAGTCCTACAAAACTGTACATACAGTTTGACTGCAGGATCGAAACGAGTCTCAATTAAACAACAAAAAAATTTAACTATTCACCTGCCCTCGTCATCCTGATGATTGTAAACTGTAGTGAACAGGTTCAATAGCAATTCCTGAACGAGAGCTGGTACGTCAGGCACTGCGTCGTCATCTTCCCTGTTGGCAAATATACCCATTGTCATACTACTATTGTGGACAGTAATTTAGATAGAATTTTCTTTTAGTGTCTAAAGCGGAGGTTTTTTTTTTGACACCAAATGACGGTGAACAAGTCGTGAGCTTGGTGGAGAGCGACACGCCATTCAGTGCTATAAATCACAAAGATCTGACGAGCACTACCACTGCGCTCGTCACCCTGAGACATAAGTTGTTACTCTCACGATTTTCACACATTATTTAATTTTCAATCTACGGTTAAACCTACCTAAGTGAGTAGCACAGTCGCAGCTGTCAAAAACATATTTTAAGTTGATGAATATTTGAAAGTTTGGATACCTCTGTAGCCACCTTACCTATTTCTGCCGTCAAGCTGTAATGTGAGTATTGCGTTTCGATTTTGAAGGGTGCTGGTGAAACTACAGACACAATGGACTTAACAACTTATTTGATTTTTAATTCGGGAAAAAAATAATGTATTTTTAGATTTTCGCGATTATTACACATAGGAAATGAAACTATTTTTCCGGATTTAAATCGCGTACAGACTGACTTTTGACTGAGTCAACCGTGACCATGGGACCTGTAAAGGGCCCGAACCGTCGGTTTGTTTGAAAAAACAAATATACGCGATTTAAATCCGGAAAACAGTTCATTTCCTTTATGTATTTTTTTTTAAATATCAAGTGACGGGACGAACAAGTCGTGCACCTGATGGTAAGCGTAAGGCGTGTAGCCTGACCATAACGTTGCAGTGCCACTCAGAGCTTTAAATCGCAAATATCTAAGGGCACTGCCACTGCGCCCGTCACCCTGAGACGTAAGTTGACAAGCATCATGTGCCTGTAATTTCACAAGCACCCTTACCCTTCAAAACCGGAACACAGTAATGCAGACATTACTGCTTGGCGGCAGAAATAGGCAAGGTGGCAGTACTTCCCTGGACGAACTCTTTTACAAGGATCTCTACTGCTACTAAAAAATGTATGTATTTATGTATCTAATAGAGTCTAATTTCATATTGTTATCACGTCTCATAAACATTTATGTATTGACATAAGTACTATCTATGGATTATTCCATTTATGTACGGTCACGACCTGCCTAAATGGGTTCCATTATTATGGAACTGCAATGACATCTCGCACCCTCTTTTTTTATTCTCTGACAATGATCCCTTGCAGGTTTAAATGAACACCTATGAGTCGATATAGACCATTTTAGGTAACTTAGGTCTAGTTTTAAAGCTATTCGTGGTCATAGAAATAAAAATATCACTTATGAATGTTTTTTTACTACTTTCTCAATAAATATCCGATAACTCTCTAAGAGCCAGCGCAAATGGGCGGATGACAAGACAGAGGGCACCGAGTTTCTGACGCTTAGGTATTCTATGCGCTCCGTGTATGGGTGCGTGTGGCATACGTTTCTATAGCCGTGTGTAAGCCCAAGCGACACAATCTCCACGTCTTACGGCCGAAATAGGGTTAAAATGGACAAGGGGGAAGAGTGGTGGCCCTGACTAGTATGGGCGGAACGCGTGCAAATTTATATTCCCTTCGTATTATTAAATACGTAATATATATACGTTATAGAAAATATGAAGTTTCGTTATTATTCAAAAACTGATGACCTTCCATGAAGTATTTACGCCGTAAGGGTTTACTTTGATTTTTTGTTTCAGAGACAACTTCGGATTTTTATTTTGAAATTACAAAATCAAAGTAAAAACATGTGACTGAAGAGTATGATTTATAGAGTGAATCTTTAAATATCTTATACATTAATTTCGTAACTAAACCTTCAGTAATAATGATACAGCAAGGGTTCAAATGAACGAAATTACGTATCGCTGCCTCGGCGCAGTCTTAGATGTCCAAAGAGTACTTTAAAGGCCTTACTTCTATAATCGACATAAATATACGAGTATATACCATTACGCCCGTCTCTCAAACAGCAAATATTAAATACACTAAGTCTTACCTCAACATCTGTTTAGTCTGCAAGCAAACCCTCTGCAATATCAGCGCATCCTTATAAATCTGCGAATCTGGTTCGTTGTATTTACAAGCATTGTCAAACATCAATATGAAGTCCGATGCAAGTTCGTTTACAGACGTGTATATGTTGTTTTTCAGCTTGTGTGCTATTTTCTCCATATCTATCGGGTTCTTGATTAACTCGTAGTAGTCTGGGTACTCGGTTTTGCTTGGTAGCTTCATGAAGATGAGTGCTAATTGGCGATTTGCTATAAGTAAAATGTTAAAGATTATAATAACCAGATATACTTATTACATACACACAAATACACCTGTATGCAAACCATCTACAATTACACAATAATATCACTCCTCACATACACACACACACGCAAGCACGAACGCATGCTCACACGCACGCACGCACGCACGCACGCACGCACGCACGCACGCA